GCCCGGGAAGGCATCGAGAATGAAATTGCTGTGGAAAGCTAAAATGGTAACCGGGTGTCCCGTCCCCCCCTCCCCTTCCCCTGCCTGCGGGGTGCCGGTGTCCGCGGGGTGGCCGGGCGCGCCGCCCGCTGCTTCCCGGAGCCTCTCTGCTCTTCCTCGCTTCCGAGTGATGCTTATCTTCACGAGTAACTGTGTGTGTGTGTGCCTGACACGGGGAGGATGAAGGGAGTGCTCCTGAGAGGGAAGTTAAACGAGTCTCTTTGGAGAAATTCAGATGCATGTTGTCTGTCTGCTTTGCAGCGGATTGCGTTCTTTTGTATTGCTAATAATCTAGGAAATGAGGAGTCATTGCAGCACATGTTCTGTTAAAGTTTGGAAGACGTTGCACTTCTTTTTTTCTCATCCGCTTTCTATTATTTGTGAGTTTTAAAGCCTCGACTCTGCAAAGTTTTTTGTAGCTTGAAATAATAGGTTTTGGAAAGGCAAACCACAAGCGCTTTAGATCCCTCCTGTCAAAAGAAATAAAGGGTTGCTCTATTTTAAATGCTTGTTATCGTCAAAGTTTAAAGGCTGTCTGCCTAAGTAATTCAACGGTTTTAAAAAGTGCAATTCCTTCCATAAATGAAAGGCCAAAGAGATTAATTGCTTCAGAAAAGGGGGGAGGGAGAGTGAAGAGAAGACTGCTAATCAAAACCAAACTATTTCCTTAGAAAAGACTTTATACAACTATTTAAAATATGTGCTAGTCTAGGAAAAATAGTTAAATGGAAAGTCAGGGTATCTTGATACCACAGGAAAGGACAACTTGCCAAGAATATCTCCAGTGTTCCCTCAGTCTAAAAGTATCCTGTATTGCTTTGATTGTTGTATTTACTTTGCGTAGCCCATCTTCTGCCTTCAGCTCTGCATGAAGCAGTAGAGCACCTGGTATAGATTGTGGTTAGCAGAAGAGGGAAAACGTTCCTTTCTCTCTCTTATTTTTTTTTGTTTCCCCTTTTCCTGGCAGACCACAATTCAGGACGGGGGTGAAGAGGTGGAAGATGGAGCTGTTTACAATGTCACCCTGAAAAGAGTGCAGATTCAGCAGGCTGCCAACAAAGGAGCAAGATGGCTAGGGGTAAGTAAGGCTGACGCGGTGCCATTTTGGAAGGCTGCTCATGGACTTTGGAGCCCGCTCCAGGGAGCTGAATTCCACACAAATCGTTGTGATATTAACTTTTAACACTGACTGCTCTCACTATTTAAAAACCAACCAATTAACCAAACCAAAATACTGAAGTTGTCTCTCTGGGTCATCAGAAATAACTCTCTCCTTGTGTTGACTCTTCCTCTTTTCTTGACATGTAAAAAAGATTTGCCCAGCTGTGGCCATGGATCAGATGATACTTAGTGCAGAAATAAGGATCTTAGCTTATGACCTGAGAAGCTGAACATTTAACAGTTATTTCAGACTGGGCTATAGCCCATTTCTGCTGTTAGGAACCTATCTCAGTTCTCCCAAACAAATAGTCTTAGTGTTTTGACTAATGAAGCTATCCCAAAAGTTAGCAGAAACTTCCTCAAAACTTACATGAATGTAGGTTTGAGTCTTACTTTTGCATTGCTCTCTCAGCCAGATGAGAAACTAATTGTCTGCATTTCTGCAAGAATTACAGCTCTGTACTGTTTTTCAAAGGTCTGTTTCAAAGCATGAAGGCTTTAGCGGTGAGTAAAAGGAGCTTAAATGCACACGCACTCAATTTGGCATGCTGCTGAGTGCCTTCACCTTTGTCAGGCCAAGTCCCCAGCTGATATAAAATGTCCTCACTTCACTGGAATCAGTGCAGCTGTGGCAGTTTGAGCCAGATCTTCAGGAGGTGGCTATAACTTTCATATTACTTTGTTATGTTTATATATTTTCTTTAGGATCAAAGATAATAATATAAGAACTTGGTTTGATGTAGTGTCCAGGTTGGTATTTTAAAGACTTTTAAAACTGCCCTGAGACTTATATCAAAACATTTTCTTGTGAAGTTCCATGACATAAAGCAATACAGCCGTGCTGAAACCACAGTCAAGAAAGATAAGCAAACTCTACCCTGATAGTGCTTAGAATCTCCCCTTCCCATGTTTCCAAGAAGTATATGGAGTTCTAATCAGAACAGATAATTTAAAATCCACTTCCGCTGAGTGGCAGGTTTCCCATCTCTGCCTCCTTTTTTTTACCAGGAAAAATATTAGAAAGTACTTTTGAGCTCCTTTAAATTTCCCGGCTGGTGGTTTTCTGTAAGAGGTGGAGATCATTCTGAATGTGTCTGTGTCCCATAAATGTACTTTAGAAATGCAGAATTTTATCCTCTTTCAGCTGTGTTGTTCCTTATACGTGGAAGGAGTTTGCCAGCTCTTGGTCATATTCTCAAAGGAAGAGTGCATATGTGTTCCTGAGATCATCACCACAGCTGATGGTGCCGATCTTAACAGGAGGACAAGGGACTGCAAAGTCACGGAGGTGACTTTTGGCTTTCTGTGGCTAGTGTTAGTTTTTTCAGGTCAGAATCGAGCCCTGTTTGTGGGGAAGGAGGCAGTGTGTCAGAAGTCTGCACCTGTTCCGGGTATAAATTGGTGACTTCAGCTTCCAGGCTGCTGTCTTTCATGAGCAAAAAATCTCATGCATATTATTTAAAAATATTTTTAAACATATGGGCTGTTTTTTTCCCTTAAGCTTTTCAGAACATAAAATATTTTAAGCTCTTTTTGTGATCTTGTTTTATTAATGGCTTTACTGTGGTTCTAAAGTCAATAAATAGCCTCTAACCCAGAACATTATTTATGAATAGCTATCCCTGCTGCCAGCAGTTTTGCCTTGAAAAGCATAACTGTCTGTTTTATAATTGTCATCAGGTGACTTTTTTTTTTAATCTGGAGTTTATAGGGATTTATGATGTTAATTTTTTTTTTCTATGCTTTGAAAGTCATAGCACTAAATTAAGCTGTTGGATTTATCAATTTTGGTCTTAATTTTTTGATGGTGCTCTAAGTCAGGCTTAGGTTGAAGGCTCAAGGTCAACTGAAGAGTATGTGAACAACCTATTTGTACATCAGCAAGTATTGAGCCTTCATTGTAACAAATATAGTAACTCTGTTACTAATTATTTGCATGAGTGACTTTACTTTTAAAAAGTTACTTTTTCAGTGTCAGTTTGTGTCCTAAGGTCTACTTAGCGGTTTGACCTCCTCTGAGGCACTGAGCTTACGGTGGTTTATTGGTGCAGGCGAAGTTCCTTGTGACTTGAAAAGCCCAAGTCTTTTAAAACCTCGATGTTGGATGTGGCTATTAAATATTGTGTGATATCAGAGCAGAGGTTTGATCCAGCAGTTCCATAGTGGTCAGTTCTTAGTGATGCTGCATTTGTAAAGTGATTTGGAGGCTTTTCAGCTGAAAAGTGTGATGCAGATCTAACTGAAAATTTCATGGAACATACATTGAAAGGAATAGAAAAGGTCTTATTTATTCTGAGTGTGTTGGGATTTATTACCAATTCCTTTAATTACTGAGCAGCTTGAAATCTTGCTTAAATACTCTCTTGTACAGATACCAGTAAGTGACTGAACCTAGATCTGTTATGTTTTGAGAAGTCTAACAAACCTTTCTTAAAACTCTTTATCCTAAGAACCCATCCAGGGTTCTTGAATGGTTGGCCCTGTTATGAGACAATGGTCTGTTTAAAAGCCAATCATAAGATTACAGCTTAAGCACGATAAACACTTCCCTATTTAAATACAGAAGTGTCTCTCTTGTGTTTCAAAATTCTACAATTAATACAAGAACAAAAACCAAACAGGCTGTGACTTATGCAGTCATCAGCAGTTCCATAACTTTCAAAAGTGTGAAGCATTTGTATAAACACCAAATTTCTTAGCTTTAAATTTAAGTAGACTTCAAAGGATGCCAATAATTGCTACTGGTTTTGTCACTAAATACTTAGTCACTAAATATTTAGTGAAGCTTAAGACTTTAGGCACTACAGTATTATGAAATATTAAAAGCCCTAGTAGTAGCTTAGTATTGTGATAGACAAAAGCACTATCCTGACTAAAAAGAACTTACAGAATAAGCATCAAATGAGGCTTGTCTGTACACATATGTTGTCTTAGCTGATGATTGGAATCCAAGGCAGTGGTATCAATTTTTTGGTCTGTTTTTTCTCAAGTTATTTGTAGACATCAAGGCAATGGAGAGTCTTAAAAAAACCCATCAAACTCAAATGAAACTTATGGAGACATTGGGAGAGAATACCTCCCAAGCACAATAGGTTCAACACAAGAAAGCACGAAGGCTTTTTTTTGAAAATAAAGTGGGTTTTGGTGTCTCTAGGACCTTGAGAGAGATGATGTAGAGATTGGGAACAAGCCACGAAGGCCACGGAAACTGAGACACGTGGCCAAACTTCTTTGTGAGAGAGAAGGATGGAGAAGTAGAGATTTGTATATATGGGTGGCATGCTTAAAAGAGGGGGTGAGGAGAATGTTTTCTGCAGCAGGCTTTTGAGTAGACATTCAGCACCATTTTGAATGGCATTACGTCAGGCTAGAGAAAAAGGCATATCGGTAACTGGAATAGAAGGTTTGAGAGTGCAGCAAGGAATTTTAATGATGTGGCTAGAAAGAGAAGGTTGTATTTTAAAACTATGACACAGAAAGAACCTGCAAAATGAGACTCAGCTTACCTCTGAAGATGCAAAGACAGCCCATAGGGAGGCTGGCACCCTAGGTGTCAAACAGGATGATGCTATTGTCCATGAAGAAAAGGCAACAAAGCAGAAAAGGCAGGTGAAAAGTTTAGAGTTCTGTAGGGTTTTTTGATCTTGAACTGACAGCCAGGTACCCATGAAATGAAAACAGAGACAAGCTGAATCATACTGTAGCCAGAAGCAGGTAAAAACAGTAAAGCAGTGGCTGTAAAAGTAGATCAGCTGCTAAACACCTGAATTTCTGTTGCCAGGAGCACTATGCTGACGGAGTATGAATGGCAATGGAAAAGGTGAACTCCAGTGATTTATTGTAAATAGTAAACTAAAAAGTAAACAGTTAGTAGAAAGACAAAGGAAAAAGCAGCAGGTAGAGAAGTGGAGAGATGGGGAGAATGATTAAGAGGTGAGAGACTGAAAGAGATTTTTAATAGGAGAGTGATGGGACTATGGAAGGCAAATGGTACAAGAGAAAGCAGTATGAGGTGGGATTTGATCCACTGGACAAGTGAAAGAATCAGAGGAGGACCACAGGAAAGAAACTTCTGCACTTGTTAAATGGTAGAAATGAGAACTGTTCAAGGGGTCCCTTGCAAGGATTTACAAGGGCTGAAAAATTTGAGGAGCTGGGACTGCAGATGTGGAATGAGATCAAGTTGAAATACTGGAATTGCTCGACTAAGGAGTTGACAAAATTGGAGAAAGAGGGGACAGAAAAAAGGCCTTTCTAGTGAAGGCAATTGGCCTAGTTGTTGTGTTTGTGCCAAATGCTAGTATAGCCATACACTGAAGATGCACCAGGACTAGGGGCTAGTAGAATGGGCCTTACAGTGATGGAAAGAGAAAAGAATGAATGGTGTAAGACAATAAGGCAGGAAGAAAATGAATGACCGTATAAATAACAAAGGGGCAAGTAAGGGAGTGGTTTAAGGTGATCTGGATAGGTGAATGGTCTTGGCAACTGACAAGAATTGAACCACAGCAGTAGATACTATTGCCAGCTCATTCCTTCATCAGATATAACTGATCCCATAGGAGGTGATGCTGTGTCAGCAGGGTTTACCTTAAATTTGTTTTCAGGACATGATTACATTTTCTAGAAAGGTAAGTAGAGTAGATCTGTGAGATGCTTAGCTTTACAGTGGTACACTTGGAAACTCTGGGAAGTATTTGTGAAATCAAGTGGAGTAGGAAGTTCAGATAGTTGAATGTGTGAACTTGGAAGTATGTGAGTCAAAACAGCAAATGACTTCTAGTTTGGACAAGGGGAAAAAACTTTCAGAAGTTTTCTTCAGAAGAAGAAGGAATAATAATCTAATTTTTTTCTTTTTTTTTTTTTTTGGTAGGAATTAGGTTTTGACAAATAGAGAAAAGCTCTTGTCAGCAGAAA